CGGCGCGAGGGAAGCCTGGCCGTGGCCGTGGCGGCAGGGCCAGGGGCGGCAGGGCCAGGGCCAGGGGCAACGGGCAACGAGTCAGCCGACCGGCTGTTGCAGCAGCAGCCAGCCAGCCGTCCGGGATCATGCAGTAGCGGGGCGCGGCGGGGAGGGGCGGCGGCCTCCAGTGCCTCGAGTAGCCTTGCACTTGGGCCCCCCTTTTCCCCTTTCCACCATCGGACAGGTCTATCGCATTTCGTTGCGATATTATGGATGAGTATTGACTCCATTCCTGTTTTTCTTGCAAGATGGTTGAAAATAATCGATGGCGAAAATAATGCTGCTGTGCGCGGGCTGGTGCGTGCAGCTGACTGGACGTGCTCTCCTCTCTGGAATCTGGAATGCGTCCAGAGAGTCAGACGCCGGGACGCGTGGCGCGCCGAGCGTCGCGACGCCCCGCACTGCAGTGCATGCACACTGTACACGCGGCGCTTCAACAATGTCCGCGGCGGCGTCCGCGTCTGCCGTCGCCGCCCGGCGTTCAAGTCTCCAGGACGCCCAGCTCGACGGCCAACGCGCGCTCTGCAGGAGCAGGCTCGACACTCGAAATGGGAAAACGACAACAACACCGCCACCTGAGCGCGCACAGAAATGCGAAAAATGGCATGCCCGTGCTGGACTCCAGCCTCCAGCGGGCAGTCTCCAGCGAGACGACTGCCTGGAACGAGTCAGACAGCCGGGGCAGACGGAGTCCCGGCCCGTCCCGGCGTCCGGGCCCGTCCAGGCTCACTCGGCCACCACAAGATCACCAACCGCATTGCAGGTTGTTCACCCTTCCCTGGACTGCCCTTTGCTTGTTGCAAAGTCACCGAGACGGCCGGCGCAGTGCGCAGGGCGCAGGGCCCAGGGCGCAGGGCCCAGGGCGCAGGGCGCAGGGCGCAGGGCGCAGGGCCCAGGGCGCAGGGCCCAGGGCGCAGGGCCCAGGGCGCAGGGCCCCTCTCAATGAAGCGGTTACATAATGTAGCGGTGCCGGCAGTTGTTCTCCGGGCGGCACCGTGCACCGTGACGACGCAGGAGGGAGGCGTCGCGGCGCCGTGTGAATGTGCGCATGCCTGAGTGTGTGTGGTGTGTGTGTGTGTGAGGTAGCGGTGCCGGCGCGGTGCCCCCGGCAGGCCGAAGCCCACTAGCGGGGCCCAAGCAGGGCGATCTGGTCGGACCTGATCGGCGAGGGAAGTGCCAAAGCCGATGCCTAATAGCCGGCCGGGGACCATCCCTTGCAGCGTCACCATTAATCAATGAGACTTGCACGGTCATCGAGGCCAAATCGGCGGAAACGAAGGCAACAAAAAAAAGTGGGCTGGTATTTGAACCTACTTCGACCGCGCCGGTTCCCCGGCCCGCCCGGTGCAGACGTCAGTGGAGTCCTGCAGAGTGTTGCGGAGGCCTCGTGGCGTCCAGTTTCCAGGAAGGGCGCTTCGCCGTCGCCCCACCTCGCCTCGCCCGCCCCGCCCCGCCTCCGGCAAACCTAGCTAGCGACGACGGACACGACGAGAACGGGGCTTAGCCGTGTCCACTGCCCGTCGAGGCTTCCGTCAACAACAAGGAGTGTGGTGACAGGCCCGGCGACGTCCTGCGACGTCCTGCGACGCCGCGGCACTTACCGGCGAGGGGTTTATTCCTGAGCGATGCTTGGTGCAGGTCGAGCAGGCCGTCTTGGCGGAGCCGAGTCGAGTAGAATCCACTGCACTGGCACTGCACTCCACGATCACACACACACACGCACAACGGCCATGCGTCGCGGCCGAGCACTGGCAAGGGCCGACCCCTCGAGGACCCTGCCGATGCGCGTCGATCTTTTTTCCGGCCGGTCCCTTCGATCCACGCGCCTCTCGCACGACGACGTCCGCGCGCCGTTGGCGGCGTTGGCGGCGACGGCTGGGTGCGGGACTGCGCGGGGCCTGGCGCGACGCGCGACGCGACGCCGGACGTCCCCGTCGACGGGGCGCTAGGGACGCTGTCGGAGAGCGGCGACGGCGGCGACAGCGGCGCGGCGCCAGCAGAGGGAGCGACACCGCAGAACGAGGCGAGCGGGCCGAGCTGCGGCGAGCGAGTGATGCGGAGAGTCCACGGGGAGGACCCGTAGCCCCTAGTCCACGCCAGTCCACGCCACGCCGTCCGCCCTGCCTGCTGCCTGGCCTGCCTGGCCTGCCTCGCCGCCGTCCCGAACCGGACCAGAGCCCACGGCGGAGCCACGGCGGAGCCCCCAAGCCCCCGATGAGCCGCCAGGTAAGGGGCGTAGCGGCGGCGGGGCGGGGCGGGGCGCGGGGCCGCACAGCACAGAGGCACGGAGGTAGTGGCAGCGGCGGCGGCAGCGGCGGCCGGACAGGTGCGCGGGAAGGCGGGGGGGGTGGGGCGCGGGGTCGGCGGGGGCGTGGCGGGGCGGCCGACGGGGCCCCGTCGCCGCGGAAGGAGCTCGCCGATCAACTCGGGGCTCTTGCTCGTCTTTGGGGGATTCGATCCTCCGTCCTCCGGGGGAATTCCCTGGCTGCTGGGCCGCCTGGCGGCGGGCGGCTCGCCTCTGCGCCGGCGCCAGGGCAGCTCAGCGACGGGCAGGGCGCCGGGGTGCCGCGGCACCACGGGGAAATGGCGACACTGGTAAAACAAAAACGGCGGCTGGCGGGGCGTCGGGACGGCGAGGCACATGCTGGAAAGGCCGGGCGAGCGAGTGAACCCCAAAGCCACCCCATGCCGCCCCGCCACGCCCACGCCGTTCCACCTGACGTCAACGCGTCCGCAGACCGGCCAGGACCGGCGGCCCGCCTGCCATGCAGCAGGCGTCGAATCCAGAATCCAGAACGCGGCCGCGGTGCGGAAGCGGCCGAGATGGAGGCCAGATCGCCTTGTCCCTAGGGCACGACACGGCACGACTGCCAACGAGCCCGTATGGAAAAAATCGTCTGCGAATGCATTGCTTTTTGTCGGCTTAATCGGATCGTTTGCGGACCGTTCTCAGCTAGACGGCAGACAAATCGCGATCAAGACGCAGTCAACTCTAAGACAGGACGCAAACAGGGGCCAGACGGATTCGGACTTGGGCCCGCAGTGCATGCGCGGGCAAAAGTCAGGCCGAAAGTAGCGTGTTCGCAGACACGGCGCGGCCCATCCGCCGACCGTCCGCAGACCGTCCGCAGACAATAAGTACCTCAATCGGTCTGCGGAACGTCTGCGGACTGTGGGGTGTCGGAGCTCGGCTCGGCACAGCTACGTCACAGCTCGTCTTCAGGTCGTCTACGGAACGTTTGCGGAAGGTGTGGTGAACGTCTGCGAACCGTCTGCGATTCGTCGGGAATCAAACAACAACACAAACAAAAACAAGAGCGTGAGTCGCGGCCTGGGCGACTCGAACCCGCAGCCTTAGGGCGCTGTTCAGAGACGCTACCCACTTGGCCAGAGTGGGAAGTCTGAGAGGAGCGTCGCGAGGCTGCGTCAAGTTCCGCGCAGCCGCCCCGACTTCGGTTACCGGACTTGCAAAACAATGTGAACGATCTACAAATCAAAGTGTTTACTTGTGCGCTGTAACTGGAGCGTACTTGACTATGTACGCTGCAACTAGAGCGTACTGGCAAGTACGTAGTGCGTACACTATATTTGAAGCGGACATCAGACAAGTACGCTCCGTTACAGCGCACAAGTAAACACTTTGATTTGTAGATCGTTCACATTGTTTTGCAAGTCCGGTAACCGAAGTCGGGGCGGCTGCGCGGAACTTGACGCAGCCTCGCGACGCTCCTCTCAGACTTCCCACTCTGGCCAAGTGGGTAGCGTCTCTGAACAGCTGCCCTAAGGCTGCGGGTTCGAGTCGCCCAGGCCGCGACTCACGCTCTTGTTTTTGTTTGTGTTGTTGTTTGATTCCCGACGAATCGCAGACGGTTCGCAGACGTTCACCACACCTTTCCCCAAACGTTCCGTAGACGACCTGAAGACGAGCTGTGACGTAGCTGTGCCGAGCCGAGCTCCGACACCCCACAGTCCGCAGACGTTCCGCAGACCGATTGAGGTACTTATTTGTCTGCGGACGGTCTGCGGACGGTCGGCGGATGGGCCGCGCCGTGTCTGCGAACACGCTACTTTCGGCCTGACTTTTGCCCGCGCATGCACTGCGGGCCCAAGTCCGAATCCTGTCTGGCCCCTGTTTGCGTCCTGTCTTAGAGTTGACTGCGTCTTGATCGCGATTTGTCTGCCGTCTAGCTGAGAACGGTCCGCAAACGATCCGATTAAGCCGACAAAAAGCAATGCATTCGCAGACGATTTTTTCCATACGGGAGCGGACTTTGATCTGGCGCAGATTTGGCGGTCCAGCCGGCCCCTCTGCTGGGCCGCTTGGGGCCGCTGGGCTCTGACCCACAGTCGCCAAGCCCCACGTCGACGCGGAGCAAAGAAAGAGGGCAGGGGGAGGGTTGATTCGAGTTTCCGGCAGGGCGAAGACCTCGGCTGGAAGTCCTTGATCTCAAACTACTGTAGGCAGTGCAGTGTAGCTGGCGCCGTAGTCCGCGACGCCCCCGCCCCCTCCCCCGTCGGGCACCGGGCCGCGCCGGCAGCCTACGGCAGGCGGCCCCACCGGCACGGAGCGGGCGCCTCGCCTGCAAGGCCCTGGCTCTGGCTGCCCTGGCCGGGCGTAGCAGGGCGTCCCGGCTAAGCGCCTCTAGCGCCTCAGACCTGTGCTGTCCGTGTGAATGACCTGCCAGTGGCAACAGCAGCAACAGCTGGGCCCGGCCTCCAAGGCCTGGCCGAGTACTAGAGTACCTCCTGCCAATAAAGATTGCGTTGCATTAGCCACGGCTGCTCGGCGCGGACGGGGGACTGGGGCCGAGGTGGTGGGGAAAGAGTGGCAGGAGATGTCATTCTGGTGGACTATGGATTATTTTCTATCCTACACCTTTCCTGCCCTTTCATACGAGCGAGTGTGTGCAAAAATGCACGAGGATGCGTTAAAGTAACAAAACAAAGCAGGCCATTAATTAGTTGTATAACATGTTTTTATTAGTCAAGACAATATTTACCTTTACCTATTAGGTACGGCAAAATTGTTGGGATAAAATTTTTAAAATAACACACATTAGTTTGATGAATAATCAGAGATAATGTTTGATTTGCAATTCAGCGACCTACTGTAGTGTAAAAGTTTCACACAAAGAGAGAAAAGAAAACTTACCCTGAGGTTTTGTTCTGAAAACGATTTGATGACAGACAACAGAACACACCCATGCAAGAATCAAATCAATACCACAATTATAAAAAGTGCAGGAAAAAACAAAAAAAAAACAAGTTTCCTGTCGATTAAAATATTTAAAATGACTTGGAAAATACCATCACACGCCCATTAAACGAAACCAACAAACAACACAATTGACTTAGATACACAAGCAAAACAAACAACATTTTGTGCTGTACATAGTATTTCAAAATACATGTGCTCAACATTACCTCTCCCTAAAAAAGGGAACCACAGATAAACAGTCCAAAAAAAGACTAAAACTTAATTGTGAGCACAATGCATTTAGCATAGTAGCACCAATATAAGACATATCCCCTAAGAAATTTAAGAAGCGCCCATAAAAAACAGTATACATAGTTCTAGAAATTGAACATTTTGATATATCTTTGGTTAAATTAGTGCAGTAAAGCAACCTTTCAGATCAAATTATGCAGATCATCAATTGACTTGACTATCAAGAAGATGAATAAGAGTTAATGAAATTCCTCATTTTACCTATCATGAAATGTGGTTGCAGACAAGAACAGTGTCACCAAAATGGTTACATAGTGGTACTTACAAACTTTCCCTCACTTAATCCTAAAATTGAAATATTCAAGGCCGTCAACATTTCCTAGAATTACGTAAAACACAGCATGGAATGGCAGAGTTTGCAAAATAGAGATATATAGCAAGGAGATCAGTACATTACATACTATTATGGGAACAGAAGCCTCATGACTATAACCCAACCCACGAGGTACACAGTTTGGCATGAAGCTCATATCTTCGCTCGGCTATAAATAATCTGATACAGGTGTTCTGGAAAAAGCATGTTAACAATTTATAGCTTTGTTTCTACAGAAACAGTTCAAAATGTAAATCAGTGAATTAACCTACACATGAGACCACATGTTTGAGGATATGCATTATACACGGGCCAAGTTTTAGAAATCAAATAAAACTAACAGTCATAGAATCTAATACCCCATTAATTACAAACAGTATTTGCCAATCCATAAAAAAGGAATTAACTTGTCTTTGGTCATACTCTATAAAATTGATAACAGAACTACTGCAGTTTTTAACTTATAAATAGTCAATCTATCATTGTCAATACAGAACAGAAAAATCAATTGTTCAACAAAATATAATGATATGTTGATATTTGGGCCTCCTTGCATCGTCCTATATCATTTTTTTTTTCAAATGCATGTGTGGTTTAAGAACCTTTAAGAATAACAACAGTCTTTATATTACAAAATAAATCACAAAGCACCATCCATCAAATAGAACACAACAATGCTACACATTAGACTTTGGAATTAAAAATTGAGATGGAAAAACTGGAACTATGGCGGCAAGAATGATGACACATTTACCATAAGTACTAAGAGAAAAAGTACTTGGGTAGGATTAAATACGTATTGACAGACTAGCAATATGGAAACATCAATAAACAAAAAAAACTAATACGGCAACAAATTTTGAGCTTCATGGCAACATAAATACCCATAAACTAAAACAGTTCAGTAACTTGAGAGCTCAATCTTAAATTACAAACATGGCAACAAACAATAGAACAAGTTTAAGATATTTTTCCAGACATCAAACAGTAGCACCAACATGTATCACTAATGTGATGTTTTAACCATATAGATATTTTATACACCTTATAAAGCAAACAAGCCAAAATGCAGAGAGATAGATAAGATAAAGCAGATTGGTCATCAGCCCAAAGTAAATTTGTTTGGCCCAAAAGAAATACTGTCACAAACAGATTTTTAAACAACTGCAATTCAGACAGAGATTCAATACACATCATGGATATGCCTCCAAGTAAAGAAACTTTGACTAATCATCTGCACTATTTGCCTTATCTGGAGCAGCACTGTATGGACAAGGACTGGAGAGGCAAGACGTACCATTGCACTCTACTACAGGGGCATGTGATGAATCCCACATTCCTGGCCCACACATTTGGCAAAGCCCAGCCAATGTGCATGGTATACATGGCATTTGCCTGAACTGATGAAGAAGGCCACGAGCCTACAATTTAAACACAAAGCACATAATTCAGAATTGCCTCTACCAAAGATTAAGTTCACAGCAGATAATGAAAATGCAATGAAACAACTTACCTTCCGTAAAATGAGATGACCATCCATGAACATGGCAAGGGAACTGAAATGTAGAAGCATTTCGTCTGTATGCAAATCTTGGGCTATCACATCATCAGCATACACTGACAGTATGGACAGACAGAGAAATAAGTGGAAGTAGTCAGTGATGTAGTTGGCCCAGCATGCTTCCCACATGGCAAGCGCAAGTGGCTCTGGAAATTCTCTCTTGAAGCACCTGCAAAACCAGAAGTTATGAAATGAGTTTCATTGATGCGGCTGGCTGAGAAGCAGAATGTTTTGTACATTTGAAATATACTTTCTGTCACCACTTACAACAATATCCAACGGTGACAGAAAAGCAGCTCCATAGCATCAGTGTGTCGCTCTAAATGGTTGAAAAATGAGGGTAACATTACTCTTATCAATTCTCGTAAGTATGTCTGAAACAATGTTCAAGAGAACAATTAATATGGTATCAAATACAGACAGCAAACAATGCAAGCATCAAATGCAGTTAAGCTAAATCTTAAAAGTCTCACTAGTGATCGATCCATATCACCATCTGTAGGAGTGCATACAAAGGAAGCTCTTTGCATTAGACCAACAAAACACCAGAAAGCATCAGCTTCATTCTTCATTTCCACTAAAACTGGTGCTAGCAGATCTGACATGCCCTGAGTGTATCCAGCACCTTTATTGTAGATGGCATAGTTCAAGAGAATGTTCCTAAAACAATGTTAAACATGCGTTTTTGATGCAACCAAGAAACCACCAACTTTAATAGTACATGCAAGAAGGGAAGCTCACTTCATAACATCGATGTTAGGATTATCAGATCCAGCAAAATAAGGGTTAGCACGGTCAGTTCGAATGACATCTTTCTCAACAATGCATTGAACATTACGGAAAAATTCATCATATTCTTCACCTGTTAAGGATTCACGCTTTTCCCTTAAGAGAAGGAATACAGAGTAGAAGAGTTAGTAGGAGCTTGAGAGCAAAGAATTTACAAGAGTTATAATCTAGCTAGAATTGTATATGACATGCATAAACTGGAGGGAAAATCTTACAGAATACTCAAGTACTCTTGCCTACGAAGAGCTTGAACTTGTTCTCTTTCATCATAAGTTGACTGGAATGGGTAACAGTGCAAAAGGAAGGGCCACACAACGCTCCTTAAACTTGGCTCTAGACCACCAAAGAAGATACCCTGCAAAGAGACGACAATCATTCAATATTTTAATTTATTCTTATAAGCTGGACAAACATAATTAATTTGAGTTTCTCAAAAGCAATGCATGAAAGACATCTGTACCTTACGAAGAGTCAAGTCATCTTCAATTTGCCCCTCAGGATTCAGAACTTGTATCCATACATCTAAATCCACAACACCAATTTGGCCCTCTTCAGGATGCAACTCATCCTCCCCCACTTCAGGTCTACAACCAAGACACAAATAATAACCACTCTGCAGTAAATCTTTTGAATTAAAATATTTCCTGTTATGTACCTGCAAATCATAAAATGACGGTATGGTAGTGTATCTTGTATTCCTGTTTGTTGAGGAGAATGTAGAAGAAAGCTCCACTCATTAAGAACTGCTGCAAGATGGTCCAATCCTCCGTGGTGAAAGTGAAGAATTTTATACTGACTCTCTTGAGAAGCAACAACCAGTTGTCCACTGGTGCATTCTATGTCATTGAAGAATAATCGAAGAGACCTCATTTGACCTTTTAACAGGGAAAGAAGGAAAAGCAGAATGTCAATATGTGCAGTAAATGCAAGACACTTATATTTTCCAAGCATTTGATATCACATACCGAGGTCAACTGAAAATCTCCTACAATTGTGTGTTCTTCTGACGACAGGAGATGCAGTCACACTCTCAGGAAATGTTAGGTTGTGTCGAAGAGCAAGTAGTTCAGGAGAACTCAGCCATGCAGGCATATCATCTAGGAGCAAAGCTATATGTTGATTAAAATTCTTTAATTTAATAAAGTGAAGGAATCTTTGGGGAGTAAATCTCACCAGATGTCTGAAAAGATGGAGGACATGAAGGATGAAGAAAACTGCAAGTGGATGCAGTAGAAGGGGATCTCTGTCGAAGAGATTCACATTCCTGAGGTGAAGTGTTATCTTCAGGCTCGACAATGCTGACTAAGAAGTCCTCTCTGCTTGATCAAGGAGGAAACTTTAATTAATTTGAAGTTTAAAAGTTGAGATTAAAAGTTTTCTTTAAACAGATGTATACCACACATACCCTTTCGGCCCAGGTTGGAGGGAGAGCACTCCAGCCTTGGATGGTGCATCGGTTGAGGAATTGGAGCCATTTACTGCATGAGTTGGACTTGGAGTGGGGGGTAAGTTGACATGAAGCTTGTCTGCTGCTTCTTCTGGAAAGTTACTTTCCCCTTCTTGAGTAGCCAAAGAAGTTGACTCATCAGAAACTGGAATTATTGAAAACATAAAATTAGTGAATGAAGCTCATAAATATCTACCGGCCATAAGTAAGTGCCTTTACTTGATGTGGCAGCAGTGCTTTCCAAGTTTCGCTCCCGAAGACTGTTTGAGCTTGGAGGTTCTGATGTTGCAAGGCTTGGTGGGCCACTCTTGGGAGTAGACTCCCAACTCTCGCCTCCAGAGCTACGGCGTCTAAACTCACGGTAAGTGGTCCGATAGTTTGCATCATGAAGACGATCTTCAGCCAAGCACTGTTTGATTAAACAAGATGTGTGTAAGTTACAGAAAGGTCTACCACACTCTATCAACAGTTTGAAAACAAAAGCAAGCATTTATAGCAAACCTTCAAACAAGATTCCTTGCCACAGGGTAGAGTAACATCATTAGATGAGAGTGAATCACTCCTTTCATCTCTGAAACAAAAATAATAATTAACACCTCACCTACTCAATTTTAACCGGTTAAAAAACTTGTACTACTACAGGAAAAAAGTACCTGTAATTGTGTCTTTGAATAGCACCAGGATGTTTGTGGAGAGTACTGTTCGGAATCCAACTTAAATGTAAAGTTCTAATTTTGTGCTGGGGTCCTGACAATTGACAACTGACAGAGAGATACCCAGGGTGATGAACAACGTCACAAGCTTGTCTCAGCAATGCAGGGGGATGGACACACACATTATTTTTGCCTGCAAAAACAAAGATCACAGGTATAGTATCACATGACGGAATACAGAGATAAAGATACAATGAATATTTGAGAGGTCACTCCAACAGAGAGACATGACAACCTGAGAAATGGCCACTCACAAAATTATTCAAATGCAGCAGTAAGTCATTAAAAGAGTAAAACTGAGAATGTAAACAAAGCCCAGCTGTGCAAATAAGTCCAGAGGTTGTATCACACTTAGCACCTGAGGAATGCCCTCACACTTACAGAACACGACTTCTCCCTCGTTGAATGGGGGGTTCTTGAGCTCGCTCCCTCCGCCCAGGATGTAGTTGGAGGCTTTTTTCAAAATGTTTGGCAGCGGCATGATGGGCTGCAGGGCCCGGAGGGGGCGGATGAGGCGGACCAGAGGAGCACTGATCACTTCCCCGGCTAATTGAGCTCACGACTCGGACTAGGCAGGGCGACCACCTTCGCTTTGAGTGCCCAGTCATTTCGTGTTGACAGGCGGTCGTGCGCGGGCAGTGAGAACGACTCTAGGCATTGTCTAAGGGCGAAAAGCACACAACATATGCTACTTAACCTTCTAATCTACAGCTCTGTCAACCATCTTGGATCGGCTGCTGTGCTGCGGCGCAGAGAGCGCCACTAGCGCGCCTTGCGGCGACGGGATGAACTAGCTTTGTTTTGGGATGCAAAAAACCAAAAAACACTACTCGGAAGAATACTAATGAAAGTTTATCAAACCAATAAAAAGGCTGTATCTTTTGCAAAAACTTCATTGATTCGGGAAACTCATATTCCCCACTCTGTGTTCTGGTTCTTGGTTGTGGTTGTCAAACAAACCAGAGCAGACGACGCACAGGTTCACAGCCCCCAAGAGCGGTAGAGCCATAAGGAATCTACACCGATAAAACTCATTCAATGATATCACAACCAAGCCAGAAATAAGTTCGAATTAGGTTAGGCTATCAGGAAATGTACAGTGTACACAACAAACACAAACGAAACACACCGAAGTCGGGTAGAGATTGTGACACCGGAACAAAGTTTTCCCGCCTCGGCAGAAGACGTCCGGACCGGTGTCACAATCTCTACCCGACTTCGGTGTGTTTTGTTTGTGTTTGCTGTGTACACTGTACATTTACTGATAGCCAGTTTTTTATAATCTCATTTTTCTGTTGTGTGTTTTGTATAAAATAAAATTTGCTTTAAAATAATTAAATAATAGTTTAACATTTCTGTAACTACACCATGGCCGCGGCAGCAGTGCCTCCAGAATATGGACCAGACGCCGGTGGGAGGCTAAAGGTACAGAGAAAACTCAATTTTCCTTAATTTATTTGCCTTTTATTGCGGACATTTCTGTCCATATGAAGTGATCTTCATGTTTGTGACAATTCAACTCAACTGTCATACATCTGAAGACAAGCTTAGACATTTTTTTTCCTATGTTTACTAAAACCTAACCTATTTATTTCTCTTGTAGGGAGTAACCATTGTCAAACCGATCATATATGGCAACGTAGCTCGTCATTTTGGAAAAAAGCGCGAGGAAGATGGCCATACTCATCAATGGACTGTTTACGTCAAGCCATTCCAAAACGAAGATATGTCGACGTATGTGAAGAAGGTCCACTTTAAATTGCACGACAGTTATGCAAATCCAAATCGAGTGCACAACAAACCTCCATACGAAGTCACAGAGACAGGATGGGGCGAGTTTGAAATTGTCATCAAAATATACTTTCACGATCCTAATGAACGACCAGTAAGTTGATGAAATAAAATTATGACTCGTCTCATTTCCGATTTGTTGAAGTTCATATTTATCTTATTGTGTTCTTCCAGGTAACATTATATCACGTCTTGAAACTATTCCATCAAGCTGCAGACATGGCTCTGACCAAGAAGACTTTGGTTTCTGAGTTTTATGAGGAAGTGGTTTTCCAAGACCCAACCCAATACATGCAACATTTATTGAATAGTGCTCCTCCTCTGACCATGGGTCCTTACAAGCATGAGACTGACTGTAAGTCCATTTTCAATATATCCTCAAGTTGAATGTGAATTTCTGAATGCTCTCTAACAATTAATTTAATTTCAGTTGACGAGAAAAAGGTAAAGTCTCTTCAAAATATTTTGACTGCAAAAACAAAAATAAAGAAAGATATTGCAGATGTAAAAGAAAAATTAAAAATTGCCAAGGAAACTATAGCAAAATTCAAAGAAGAAATCAACAAAGCACAATCTGGCAGTTTGTCAGAATCTCCCTCTCTTGCTTGAACATTTTTATTGTTTACTATCTGTTATAATTTATATGATTTAATCTCTCAGTATTGAAGGTCCTTACTTGAAATCAAAGAGAGAGGCTCTTTCCCCCCCCTAAGTATGCAGTTTCATTTTCCAATTCTGTGTGACCTCCATTCTAATGTACAATCATGATACCATAAAATAAATATATATGTACAAATTTTCTGAAATTTTCTAAAAAAGAAAAAGATTTCTTACTCCTTTATTGGTCATTGATACAATCAGGGTAGGGATAATATTTACATTAACAATCTACAGCCATTTACAACCAGTGGGCACTTCTAATACTGAATGGAATGGAATGATTACGCACGGTGTACAACAAACGATGTTCGCGGGTGCATGCGCCCCTCTGCTCAACTGGAGTCGAGGCCCAGGTCCGCTTCGTCCGAGTCGATGGACCCCAGGAGCAGGTTGATGAACTCCGGGACCACGTCGGGGGGTTCGGCAGCCACCTGCGGGTAGGTCCCGGTGGGCGAGCCGTCGTCGAGGCCCACGCCGCCGTCCTTGTCCGTCAGCCAGTACGTGTTCATGACGCCCTTGCCCTGCGCACAAGCCAGACGGAAAGCCTCAGTCTCCCTTCCACTCGGCAGCGAGGCCCGCAACAGTGCACGCACACTCGCCTTGATCTCCAGCTGGCCCCGCAGCTCCACGACGTAGCCGCCCAGCTGGTCCAGGCACTGCTTCGTCTGTTCCGTGATGTGGATCCGCATGGCTGCAGGAGCGACGCAAAATTAATGTGAGTCCCTTTCAGCGCGGGGCGAGCTGTTCCATCAAGTGCCAAGTGCTCACGCTCGCCGGTGCTCTCCATGCGCGAGGCCGTGTTGATGGTGTCCCCGAAGAGGCAGTAGCGCGGCATGGTGAGCCCCACGACGCCCGCCACGCACGGCCCCGTGTTGACGCCCATGCGCATCCGGACGTGCTCGTCGGGCCGGTGCGGCACCACGTACGGCCGGATGCCCTTGAGCAGGTCCAGCGACATGGTGGCGATCTCGCCCGCGTGCCTGTTGTCTGCAACAGAGAGTGCCTCATCCTGGAGGGAAGTCCGACACATTTAAGGGCGGTTCAAAACGCCCGAGACCGGCGAGACCTTTGACCGGACTCCCGCCCCTGGGTGGGGCCGATCTGGGCACGCGTGGGGCGCCCCATGGTCAAAAGGGCGCCGGTACGCACCATTCCTCTGCGGCAGCCCGGACACCACCATGTACGCGTCCCCGATGGTCTCCACCTTGTAGACGTCGTACTTCTTGATGCGCGAGTCGAACAGTCGGTACAGCGTGTTGAGCATGGTGACGATCTGCATGGGGGAGGACACGGCGGACAGCTGCGTGAAGCCGACGATGTCGCTGAAGAAGATGGTCACCGAGTCGAAGTTCTCGGCCGGCACCTGTCAGACACAGAGGGGCGGGCTCGGAACTGGATTCACGGCGGCAAGAGAAGGTTTTGAGCTGGCGCTGGAGGTGACGAGCAGGGAGCCGTCGCGCCCAAGCCGGCCGAAGCCAGACGCAGCGCTGGCTAAAAACCTTCTCCTGCTCACCTGCCGGTCCTGCTTGAGCTGCTTGACCACCGGGGGCGGCAGCATCTGGAACAGCAGCCTGTCGCACTTCTTCTTCTCGTTGCGGAGCGCGTTGGTGCGCCGCGCCAGCGTGCAGGCGAATTGCTGCCAACCAAGTGTCGTGTAAAGGCGCGGCACACTGTGAGGAAAAAGTACGGAAAAAGTACGGAACATGTCTGGTCAATAATTTGCCTGGACCGTCCGTACTTGCCAACTACGGAACGTTCCGTACTCTTTTTCCGTACCCATTTACATGGAGCAAGTACGGAACGTTCAGTACTTTTCTCCGTACCTCCGTACTATATTTTTCTGTACCATTTCCGTACAAAAGTACGGAATTTTTTACAGTGCAAAGTCTTCGATTTTTGTTGTCAAACAAAGACCCTTTCCAGTTTGTCACCTGCACGATCTTGGTGGCGTTGCACACGAGCAGCACGATGCAGGGCGACATGACGAGGGCCGTGGCGAGGAGCCCCGCCGCCACCAACAAGTCCCTGCTCGCCACCTGGACCGTGCTCACCACCTCGGCCCTGCGGACACAGCGGGGGCACGGCGGGGTGCCAATCAGAGATCCCTCTAATTCCTCATTAAAGATCCAAGCCAATCAGGCGGAAGCATAAAGCCGCCGGAAAAAGGCTGAAAGGCCAGCGCCAGCGTGGCCAGCGCCAGCGTGGCCAGCGCCAACGCGGAAAACTCGACAAAAAAATAAAGAAAAAAGAAAAGCGTCATGTTTAGAGATATTTTTCGCTGGCCGCTGGCATGCCGCTGGGCTCGAGAGACTCACGAAATGTTGGCGCGCAGCAAACTCTGGCATTGGCGCAGCTCCGTCAAATACATGGTCATGCTGGTGTAGTACTCCCTGGCGATGGCCAGCTCGGGCGGCCGCGACAGGTTGGTGTCGATCTGCTCGCGCCTGGAAAGCAAGCGGCCGACATAAACCCGGAGGTGCGGCGGGGCGGGGCGGGGCGGGGCGTCCCCTAAGCTAGCCGCTTGACCGCGCCGCGGAGGCCCTAATTACTCGGCTCGCCCCGCGGGACCCTTTTTGGCTGTTTTTGTGGAGGGGGCGTGTCAATAAGGCAGCGGGGCGTGATATTGGGTGGGGCGCCGCGAGGGAGCGCCATTCAAATACTTGGAGTGGGCCAGAAGACCGGTGGAGGCGGCCAAAACTCTAGACGCGTTTTGAGCAGCAGGGTTGCGAAACAGGACTCGAACCGAAAGTGTGACCCCACCAATGGATTGCTCGTCCGGAGAGCATGTTCGGTTCGAGTCCCATTTAGCGACTCTAGAGCTCAAAATGCGTCTAGAGTTTCGGCCGCCTCCACCGGTCTTCTGGCCCACTGTGCGGCGCGGCGCGCCCCCAGCCGCCCCTGCTCCAGCGCGGCATGGCCAGACACTCACCACCGCACGATGTCCGCGGCCAGGTTGCCGTTGTCCGCGTCGAAGCGGCCGAGGCGCCGCTCCAGGCCGGGCGAGAACAGCTTGGCGGACTGCAGGTGCGAGAGGGACAGCGCGTCGTGGCGCGCCCACCGCGAGAAGCAGCGCCCCGGCAGCGCGCCCAGCCCGAAGTAGTGCAGCCCGAACACCATGGAGATGGAGGTGTGCTCGGCCGCGCGCAGGAGGTTCTTGTAGGCGATGAGGAGCCTGCGGAAAAAAGGGCCAAGTGTGGCGAGCGCGTTGGTTGTGTTTGCTCGCGATCCGATCCGCGATCATGTCGCCGGTCTGTTTGCCGGACTCGGCGACCGTCCGCCTGACTGCCCGCAGGGCCCGCCCTGGGCGATGGACTTAATATGAGGCCCGGCCGCGGGCCACGGGCCGCGCAGTCCCCCGGCCCGACCCTGCTACAAAAATAATGTTATTGAATCTGAGAATTTCCCCTGCGGGCTGCCGGACGGCCGGTGAGCAAAGAACGCACAGAATCGGGAAAATAGAGGTCCCGGCTCGGCGTCTGGGAATGCGCCGTGGCGCCATGCTGCCCCGCGGGGCCGAGGCGGCCGAGGCCACGGTCTGCGCACTGCTCTGCGGACTTGCCTCCAGGACCCGGAAGTTCTGGTCTCGCTAATCCGCTGCGAGAGTTTGTCCAGGATGAAGAGGTTCATCTTGTTGTAGTAGCCCATCTCGTAGAGGGCGGCCGACGCGCTCCGAGTGACGTTCTTCCTGCGAAGCGAAATGCGGTGATTAGAAACAAGAACCACGCACACACAAACACACACGCATGCACATGCAATGAGCGTGTCACACAGATGCACTTACACGCGGTGAAAGCTGTGTTCTTTGTTACCACAAAGAACAGTGACACAATGACACACTCTTTGAGCTGTGAGAGGCACCAATGGACCAGAGTAAGCAGACAGTACTCTACAAACTGAAGTGTGTACTCAGTATGCATCTACAGATGCATACTCATAAGTACACACCTACAGATGCATACCTAGCTGAGTACACATCTACAGATGCATACTTGGCTGAGTACACACCTACAGATGCATACTTAACAGGTATGCATCTGTAGATGTGTACTCAGCCAAGTATGCATCTGAAGATGTGTATACTTGATACTGGGCATTTATATGGTGACAAGTACACACCTCCTAATGCATACTTGCCAAGTATGCACCTACAGATGCATACTTAACAGGTATGCATCTGTAGATGTGTACTCAGCTAGGTATGCATCTGTAGGTGTGTACTTATGAGTATGCATCTGTAGATGCATACTGAATACACACTTCAGTTTGTAGAGTAAGCAAACCAACATGCACTAGGAGAAGTCCAAATTCTAAATTAGTGACTGAAATGTGGCGTCCGGTGCCTCGATCGATCCACGAAACCATGGCAAGTCGTTCTGCTACCAATTTTTCCACGAACGATCAGCAACGGACGTTCTCTAAATTGCTATGCCGGTCGGCCAAGACGCCAAGACATGCATCATTGGGCAAGTTGTTTTCTGACTTACGCTGTGGCAACTAGTCCTTCTCGTTTTGAACTGTGAGCCGAAGCAATAAAAGCATTGGTTATGAGAGGTGACAACATATTCAGTCATCCGATCAAGAAAGAGCGGCGCGGTGCGCGGTCCCCGCCGAGGCTGGCAGCCAGCATCGCGAAGCACCGCGCCAGCCATGAGCCAGCCCTCCCGGCGTCCCGCGGCCCCGCCGAGGCTGGCAGCCAGCATCGCGAAGCACCGCGCCAGCCATGAGCCAACCCTCCCGGCGTCCCGCGGCCCCGCCGAGGCTGGCAGCCAGCATCGCGAAGCACCGCGCCAGCCATGAGCCAGCCCTCCCGGCGTCCCGCGGCCCCGCCGAGGCTGGCAGCCAGCATCGCGAAGCACCCCGCCAGCCATGAGCCAGCCCTCCCGGCGTCCCGCGGCCCCGCCGAGGCTGGCAGCCAGCATCGCGAAGCACCGCGCCAGCCATGAGCCAACCCTCCCGGCGTCCCGCGGCCCCGGGCCCGCAGCCAGCAGGCCCCCCGCAGGCGGTGCGCGGCGGAGCGCGGTGAGCGCGGCGAAGCAGAGGCCCCCAGCCAGTGGCCGCCAAGGCCGCCGGGGCGTCTGCCTCCTGGCGGGGAAAGCGAAGCTTATCAGCCGCGGCCGGTCGATACCAGATATCCTGGGGGCAATCATTTGCGTGAGCCGAGACTCAAAATTCGGGATTTGTTGTAGAAGTTAGGGCTACTAACTAGAAGTACTCGTGATAAAATATACTCAGAGATCTGTATTTCAGACTGACTGGCGAGACATGGTTACATGGGCTTTTATAGACAAGCATGGTTGCTACAAGGCAGAGATCGGGTCACTCCAGAACTACCAACTTACAACATCTCCCTCATTTAAAATGGAGTTACAATAATAATAATACATTAAACTTTAAAAGATCACAACACGAAATGAAGATACATAAGATAAGCAAAGTTAATTACAATACATTACATGACATAACAAAATAAAATACATCGCAAGATAGCGTTACACTACAAAATGGAGACTCTAAAAAAATTACCATTTATTTAACATAAACCTACATTACAAAGTTACAATACACAATGATGACAACACTAGATACAAGTGCAATGTTTGCACATGATTTACAACATACAATATTACCACATGACAAAATTACATGATTGCATAGGCAAGTTACAACTAAACACAAGACACTTTACAATTGAACAAGGGTTGGTGCACCATTACAACTAAATATTGCTAACTTAAACTAATTGGCCAAATAGTCAGGTACCTGATTAGAGACAAAGGGAAAAGGGGGACAGATTTTACAGTGATCACTGATTTACATGACAAGACATCACAATTACTGAAGCCTAGTGCTTCTTCTTTAGGATTGACGTTGTTCGTCCACCTAGGGTCACATAGTAAGGATTGTGGAGCCAGTCCGGAACTATCAACTGATATTCTGGCTCTGCTGGGGGAATCTCGGGAGTCTTCTTCGGCTTCTTAGGAGGAGGCTTCTTGCGTTCAGGTGCTTGCTCAGGCTGTGCTTGCTCAGGCTCCTTCTGGGTGTCGACACGAACTGGGATCTGTTCTGTCTGTTCTGTGAAATCATAGTCAAAATCACAGTCTTCGCCAAGTCCTTTCCCCAGGTCAGGACGCAGATGTTCTCGTGTTCTCCTGACGTCACTTCCGGCTGTTGTGACTAGATAAGATCTAGGATAAGGGAGTTTGATCTTCACCACTCCAGGAGTCCAGTTCTCCTTGCTGTTGGTCTTGACGTAGACCTTGTCACCTGGTTTCAGCTCGCTCAAGCTACCTCGGGCATTCTTGTTGTACCAAGCTTCTGTACGCTGCATTTGTTGTCTGAGTTTTTGATGAACTCCAGTCTGAACGCTTGGTTTCCTCTGCTTCTTTGAGATAGGGAGGGCTGTTCGCAGCTGTCTGCTGTTCAACAGTTGCGCTGGTGAGGCTCCCATCGCAGGAATCACAGTGTTTCTGTACTCTTTCAGAGAGTCCCTGTAGTCACTGCGCTCTTCTTGGCTTTTCTTCAGGATTCCTTTGGCGATAGCAACTCCTTTCTCTGCCCGTCCGTTGCTTCTAGGAAAGTGGGGCGACGAGGTGATCACTTCAATGCTGTTTTCCTTGGCAAACTGGCGAAACTCCAAAGAATCAAAGGGATTATTGTCAGCAAAAATCACTTCGGGGTTCCCATTCACGCAGAAGGCATCTTTCAGTGCATTGATGACAGCGGAGGCAGATTTTGAGCTGATCTTAGCAATTTCCAGCCACTTGCTGAAAGAATCATAACTCACAAGGTAATCACGACCTTGACATGAAGCAATATCAATTGATACTTGCTCCCATGGATTAGTAGGGGGCGGGTGTGGGATCAAAGGCATCTTGGTGTTCATTGGTCTAAATTTTGCACAAACAGCGCAAGCTTCTACAAAGTCAGCAACATGCTGCATCATCAAGGGCCAATAGAACACTTGTTGGGCTCGAGACTTGCATTTCGCAACACCCATATGTCCTTTGTGGATTAACTCCAAGATTTTTCTTCTCATTCTTGCAGGAACTATGATACGAACATCACCATTCTGGTTATAGTACATCAGACCATCTTCATAGAAAAGATCATCCCTGATCTTGAAATACGGAACAACCTCATCGGAAACTTGTGTCGTCTTACTTGGCCAACCTGTGACTACATGCTGATGCAACTTCCGCAGGGTTGGGTCCTCAGCAGTAAGATTCACAAGATCTTGCTGTAGGGCAGCTGAGATTGGCAGACTAGTCGTGAAGCTGTGCACGACCTCTTCCATCGTTGGGTCATCTGCTACTGGGTCCTTGTTGAAGGATCTTGAGAGAGGGTCAGCGATGAACATTTGTTTTCCAGGGATGTGGTCCACAGTGAGTCGATACTTGAGTAGTTTCAGCCGGAGACGCTGAAGAGTTCTCGAACCAAGCCGGTGGATCTCCCAGGATGCTTTCCAGCTGGTCCCTGTTGCTGGGGATCTCCAGGCTTTCCAGGTCTCGGATTCTGTCTGGGTCCAGCCGCATACCCAGCACTCTGGTGTCAGGTGATCCACCTTCGAGATGATTTCACGTTGGACTAGGTTGTCCAAGCACGGCTTGAGCTTCTCCGCTACTGAAGTTGGTTTCCGAAGTGCAGGGCGAATGACTTGCTCGGCTTCAGGCTTCGTTAACACTGGATGTGTGCCAGGGAATTTTCCCAAACCAGTGAACACATCTTCATTGGCTTGAATGAAGGCTGTCTGCTCATCAGTCATTTCATCTACAGACACTTCAATTCTCTTGATCAGCCCAAACCTCTCACAGTCAGCACAACTAAATAACGGTGTGTTTGCATCTTCGGACACTAAGAAGTTGACAACTCCTCTAAGACCACCAACAGTACATATCAAGTCAACTGCGTAAACATCAGATATAGATGGAGTGTTCTTGCCATACGGTTGAATAACCACATTTGACTTCTTCAGTTTCTTGACAGTCTTCAGTTCTCTAAAGAGTTCAACAGGTAGTACAGACCTTGAAGCTCCAGGGTCAAGTTTGAAATCAATCACTTTGTCTTCAACACGTATCTTCTGTCTGTACACTTTTGGGTATTTTCCTGCATCTTGCACTTGGATTGAGTCAGTGAAGTATACATCATAACTATCAGTTTTCACTTCTTCTTGTTTCTTTGTTTCAATGGAGTCAGTCTTATTCTTCTTTTCTGGACACCTACTTCTAAAATGTCCAATTTCCTTACATTTTATGCACTGTTTCCCATATGCTGGGCATTTACCATATTCATGTTTATAGCCGCACTTACTGCACTTAAAGTCTTTTTCACTTTTGTTGCTGTTATAGTTGTTATTCTTCTTTTGATTGTTCCATTTCTTCTTTGTCACATGCTTGATGGCATCAGTGGAAACACTAGAAGCAGCTGGATTGCTATGGTTTTGCAGTTCCTTTGAGTACAGTCTACTTTGTTCAGCAGCGCGACAGTCAGTGATGGCTTTCTCTAATGTGAGAGGAGTGACTCTGAACAGGGCCTCTTGCACTTTCTTGTTTCTAATACCAACAACAATTCGGTCCCTAATGAAGTCCTTCTCACGATCTCCAAAGCCACAGTTCTTCGCTTTCTTCCTAAGTTCCGTCACAAAGTGGTCAAAAGTTTCTCCCTCTTGTTGCACACAGCTGTTGAAGACGAATCGTTCATAGGTGTCATTCACCTCTATCTTGGCGTAAGCGTCAAATTGGGCTACTAGCTGGAGGTAATCATACTTATCATCTGCTTCCAAGCCAAATGTTGCAGCTAAATTTGTAGCTTCTTCTCCAGCAATGTTCAACAGTAGCTTGCCCAAACCGTTGTAATAGGCTTTCTTGGCGGGGCCCTCCAACTTGTCGATTTCTGCTTTGGGCAATTCTCGGCCACATGCTCCGACGTAGATCTCAAAGTGCGTCAGGAATCTCTTCCAATTTTGATTCACATTTCCTTCTAGCACTAGTTGAGACGGCAAGTTGGCGTTGTGCGTCATGCTTGCTGAGAGAGGTTAGCACACACTTCGGAGACGATTTCACTGAGTTCACGGCACTGACACTTCACTGATGACTTCCCACACGGTCCGTCATGACTGCGCCATGTTGTAGAAGTTAGGGCTACTAACTAGAAGTACTCGTGATAAAATATACTCAGAGATCTGTATTTCAGACTGACTGGCGAGACATGGTTACATGGGCTTTTATAGACAAGCATGGTTGCTACAAGGCAGAGATCGGGTCACTCCAGAACTACCAACTTACAACAGGATTCAGTGCTAATCCAGCGGCGACACGTCGCGACGCGTCGGCCAAGGGACGGAGGGGATCGAAGAAGGGCTCGGCGAGGGATGCAGGACTCCTTCGGACCCTCCGCCGCGTCGCGTCGCGTCCTCCGCGTTATCGGCCGCCCTGCAGACTGATTCCGAGAGTCGTTTTCGCCGCTCTGTCTCTCCCGCACCTGTTGGGGACGACCCGTGAGTGCGAGAGAGACAGAGCGACGAGACCGACTCTCGGAGTCAGTCAGCTGTCCGCTTTGTCCGCTTCATTAGCGCGTTCATCTGACAAGAGGCTCGACTCGAGTCCCGACTTGGATCCCAGTTTAATGGCGGGATTATCTGGGCCGGCAAGGATGAGGAAAACCAGGCCCGCTTATTGGTCGGCCAAAAACACGTCCATCGCGGGCCGGCGCACTCAGAGGCTGTTTGGCGTTAGTGGCAAAAGTTACACGAAAACGCAACCCGGGCGTGTAATTTAAAAAGAAGTTCCCTCCCGAGAGGCCTTATTGAAAGGAAATCTTACTGTCCCGCCCGGGGTGGACTGGGGCATTGTTTTGGCGGGAACGGGCGCGCGGCGCGGTCCTCGAAGAGGAGAGGCGTTCCCAGAGGAGCAGGCGTGTTTCCTTCCGCCCCTAAAAGGCGGGTAAAGAAAGGGAAAAAGTGTAAGAGTGTACAGCGGGGCTTCATCCCGGTCCACGCGGTCCGCTGGCTTCGAAAATCGGCCGTTGTTCTTGGTTCTTTTAACAAAACGAAGCCGGCGGTGCTGCCTTGGCCGCCTGCGCTCCAGGCGTCACGCGTGCAGCGCCGTCATTAGGGGTACCGCCCGAAGACTTGACGGACACGGGGAGGAGCAGGGCGAGCGGGGCGAGCGGGGGCCAAACCACCAGAAGAGAAACTTTAAACCCGCAAACTTGTTGAGTAATCTTCACTCCCCAGGAAGCCTAACTTTTAAAACTAACACTCCTCCACCAGACCAGCTGCCTCCGGGTGCTTTTTGTTTTTTCCTCTTCTTTCTCTCGAGTTCTACAAGGGTCCTACTCCGTTCCACCCGCTGTACAGTATTGGCATCTCAAACAATGGCAGCAAGGACGAAAGCAGCAAACAACAACACACAGCAAGGCCGGCGAGGGCACTCCGATGACGTATAGTTTCGGATCGGGTGTATCCGTTCGGCCAATCACAGGCCGCGTTCGGCTGGCTCGCTTTTCCGCCACCCAATTAGGCGCCGTCCACATGTTACGTGACGCTATTTTAGGGCTCTGTCCTTGTCACCCGCCGCGGATGCGCAATGAGTGCGACAGAGACAGAGGCGCGCTACGCGTTACGTAACATGTGGTTGCGCAAGCTCCGCGACGACCTCGACGAAAGGACCCGCGGCCACGCACCTGATTCTGGAGAGGTGGTCGTCGAAGGCCTTGTCGCGGTTGAACATCCCATGCCACTCCGCGGTCGGCGTCGACCTGATGACCTCGTCCGTCAAGTCGAACACCATCGTCAGGTCCGTCCTGCGAATAGACGATGTGTTTCACGTGTTGCAGCAGCAGGGCGCGGCCCGGCCATTCACGCCCCGCATCGCCCCTTGCTTGAACTTGAACTTGAAAGGCTAGACCACAACTGATCCTATGCCGTTCGGGCCCGGTAACTGCCATGCTTGCACTCCACAACATGACATACCGTCCGTACAAAGAGCAGGTCCTCACCTGTTCCCGCGGCTGAAGATGTAGTTGGCCATCTCGCCGCGCTCGCGCTGGAAGGCGACAAGCAGGCGACTCACGCCGGCCGTCAGGGCGATCTGCGGGCAGTGCCGGGCAGCAGCGGCAGTCAGGTCAAACAGCAACAAGCCTTGCTAGCAAGGCGAAGCGCCAAGCAAAGTCACGGGTTCTTATGGCGCACCTGCGTGCCGAGGTGCTCGGCGTTGGTGAGGATCTGCCGCATGTCGTACAGCATGACGGAGTTCTGCGCGATGACGGCGGCGATGGGGATGAGGGGCAGGATGAGCATCTGCATGAGGTAGAGCCGCTTGCCGGCCACGGTGCCGGGGTCCATGCAGCGCCAGTGCCAGCGCCGCGGCCGCGGCCGCCCGGCCAAGCAGCCCCCCGACAGCGACGCGCCCAGCGACGCCAAGTCCCCCGTGGCGGACGCGTCGCCCACGTCTTCGATGCCGCTGGGCGACCGCGAGCACCGCGCCGTGCTGTCGGCGCGCGGGTGGCGGGGGGCGAGGGGGCCGCCGCGGTGCCGCACCAGGCAGCAGCAGCAGCAGCCCACCCGCTCGGCCGCGCCGTGCTGGCCGTGCTGGCCAGGCTCCGACAAGGACACCTTCCTGCAACAGTCACGCCGACACGCTGCCAGGCGTCTGCCGAGAGATTCCGGGGCGCGCACTAATAGCTCTGTCCAGGGGTATGAAACAGCCTAGGGAGCGCGTGAAGCTATGCTCCCCGCACGGGCCGGCGAGCCGCGCGCGCCCGACCGGTCTGCGCGGCGAAAGTAAATTAGACAGAACTTTGTCAAAACTGCATCAAATCGAACAAACGAGGACGGAAAAACATTCTACATTAAATTTCCCATCTTTGTAGCGTATTTGAAATCCGTTTCAGACACGAAAAACGCATGTATAATCGATTCAAAGTCAATTTTACCGGCTCTGGATAGCGGACCCAAAATGTCCGATTGATATTTAAAGTGCTTTCCGTCCATTTTAGGCACATACATGCAGCGAGCCGATTGTTTGCCACTATTTTCACGGTGCATTAGGCCAAACCGCATGTCAATCCGAGGTCTGTAGCGGAAACGGCGGCCCAAAACATATTTCAGTGATTTTGACCAAATTCGTATTTGTCAACTTTGGATGTTAAAATCGCATCTTTTAACAAGTTTTTATGTGTTATCTATGAGCCTAATGCACTCAGAATTTCATTATCTTTCTTCCTGCAGTGACCGTTTTGCAAACAGAGGACAAACTTTGTCAATCTCACCTCTCTATTAAAATACTCCAAACACGCCGAGAAGGTACAAGCAAACGGAAACGCTTAATGTGAGAAAAATATTGCTCTGATCGCAAATCTGATACCACCACGTTGAAGAGCAGACAATTTTACATTGCTTTGTCAAGTTTCATTACAATCAGTGCGACAGAAAGAAGACTGTAATAAATTCTTTCAGATCCGCGTAGAGCACCGCCGCCGAGACCGGCGCTCCCTAACCTAACTCTTCGGCAGCCGTCCGCAACGTTTGTATTTCGAATTATTTGTACTACGTTCTTTCTGTTGCACTGATTGTAATGAAACTTGACAAAGCAATGTAAAATTGTCTGCTCTTCAACGTGGTGGTATCAGATTTGCGATCAGAGCAATATTTTTCTCACATTAAGCGTTTCCGTTTGCTTGTACCTTCTCGGCGTGTTTGGAGTATTTTAATAGAGAGGTGAGATTGACAAAGTTTGTCCTCTGTTTGCAAAACGGTCACTGCAGGAAGAAAGATAATGAAATTCTGAGTGCATTAGGCTCATAGATAACACATAAAAACTTGTTAAAAGATGCGATTTTAACATCCAAAGTTGACAAATACGAATTTGGTCAAAATCACTGAAATATGTTTTGGGCCGCCGTTTCCGCTACAGACCTCGGATTGACATGCGGTTTGGCCTAATGCACCGTGAAAATAGTGGCAAACAATCGGCTCGCTGCATGTATGTGCCTAAAATGGACGGAAAGCACTTTAAATATCAATCGGACATTTTGGGTCCGCTATCCAGAGCCGGTAAAATTGACTTTGAATCGATTATACATGCGTTTTTCGTGTCTGAAACGGATTTCAAATACGCTACAAAGATGGGAAATTTAATGTAGAATGTTTTTCCGTCCTCGTTTGTTCGATTTGATGCAGTTTTGACAAAGTTCTGTCTAATTTACTTTCGCCGCGCAGGCCGGTCGGGCGCGCGCGGCTCGCCGGCCCGTGCGGGGAGCATAGCTTCACGCGCTCCCTAGGCTGTTTCATACCCCTGCTCTGTCTCTCTCGCACTCATGGAGCGTGCCATACAGGTGCGAGAGAGACAGAGCGATGAGTGCACGCCGCGACATCGCTCGACTGCAAAGGAGGGCAAGGTGTGGCTCTTCACCCCCGGGACAGGGAACAGGGAACAGGGAAGGCAGCGGTGTCCGAAAGGCCAGGCCGCGCCGCCACGCCAGGGTGCGTCCCGACGGGAACGCAGCCCAGACCACCCACGCGCGGCTGCCACCCGTGGTGATGAAGGGGCACTCCAGCTGGTTGTGGAACGACAACGTCGCAACAGTGTGGCAGTGGCGGGGCCTGGGGCGCCCTGAGCCCTGAGGCCGCCTGGGGCGCACGGCCGATGCAGGTACACGGTGCAGCTCCTGGCGCTGCTAACGAAGCCCATTCGTGCGGACCTTGGCCGCCAACGCCGCCAACGCCGTCTCCGGACCGGGGGAGCGGGAGGGGAGGGGGGAGTAGCCCGGGGCTGCGGAGAAGCCATCACTCCGCCGCGCCGCCGCGCCCCCGAGCCCCCGCGGCCCCCGAGCGAATGGGAGATCCGCCCGCCCCCGCTGCCCCGCTGGTAGCTGGCACGCGAGGCGCGCGGCGCGCGGCGCACAATCCTGGTAATGACCCACCGACACTCCATTTTCGCTGATTATTTTGGCGGGCGGCGTCGAGGCTGCCTTCGGCGGGGCCCACGGCGAAGCCCCTGGGAGGAGCGCATTTCTCCCTTTGTGTGGGAATAATCACTGTGGCTGGGGCAAAGTGCTCCGCGTTATGGGGTGATATGTGAGCCGCTGGGGGAATCGGCTCGGCTCGGCTCGGCTCGGCGCGGCTCGGCTCGGCCCGACGCGCCTTCGGCTCGGCTCGGTGCGGCTCGGCTCGGCTCGGCACGTGGGCCGCATAGAAATCCGACGCCGTCATCAGGAAGACGGAAGGCACGGGCACGCGGCGGCCGGCGGCGGGGGACCTGAGACTGAATTGAAACGTAGCGTGGACGTGGCTTGTAAGACAGCCCGGAGCAGGCCGAGCAGGCAGGGATGGGGCATGCTTTTCGGGGGGGATAGCGGATAGCTGCACAGCGTGTACAAACGTCAGGCAGTCCGTTCAGTGTAAGGCCGTGGTAACCTTAGGCGGCACGACCAGCCGGTGGCGGCCGCCCCGGTGCATCCCGAAGTCAAAATGACGTCCAAATGAGCCCCATTTCTACTTCCTGGGATCGCGCTACGCGCCGCCCAGAGACCTAGAGACTGACGGAGAAGCGCGGGCGCCGATAAGCGCACCAACAGTTTCTCATACTCCTCGCGCGCGGCCGGAGAGCTCTCTCATATTCCGGACAAAATGGCGGTGCACGCACTTAACGGCTACACTCCAAATCCAGGGTGTCTAGAAACTATACGCCTTAGGCGTATGCCACAGAAATGGAACTGCCTTAAGGCGCCTTGATTCTACACGCCAAAGGCGTATACCCCATTGAGCACCTTTTGCAGATAGAAGTTAGCATGTGAACACCATTGGTCGAAGGAAAGGTGCGTGCATTGTACACACCCTGGATCATAGGCTCTGAGCTCAACAGGACTCAAGGTGCGTAGAATGTAAACACCCTTTAAGGCCTCGGTAGGCATGGCCTCGGCCAAGGGCGGTGTTTGCATTCAACGCACCTAGAGTCCTGTTGAGCTCAGTGCCTATGATCCAGGGTGTGTACAATGCACGCACCTTTCCTTCGACCAATGGTGCTCACATGCTAACTTCTATCTGCAAAAGGTGCTCAATGGGGTATACGCCTTTGGCGTGTAGAATCAAGGCGCCTTAAGGCAGTTCCATTTCTGTGGCATACGCCTAAGGCGTATAGTTTCTAGACACCCTGGATTTGGAGTGTAGAGAAGGTTTTTCGGTCACAGCTTCCAAACCGTTCTAGATAGAGGGGTATAGTAAGCCTCTAGGTCTCTAGTGCCGCCGTGCCGCCGCTCGCCCGGCATCGGAACAGGAGAACAGCGTCAGGGTCGGTCAGGCCAGCTGCACGCGCCGTGGATGTGGCCTCGCCCCGCCTCCAATCAGTGTGCATTCATTTTGCTCTCGAGACGAACGCCGCCGAACGCCGCGCTCCCCTTCCTCATTATTGTGGCGGCGCACAAAGGAAAAACAAGACGAAGACCAAGACCATGGTGGCGCGATCGTTATCCACGATCCACCGTTACGTTGCTGCCGGCACGATCCAGCGACTTCGGTTTCGGACTCCCAGCGCCCAAAGACGACCGCCTGAGCCTGCTTTGCCTGGCTGCCTGCCTGCGTGCCTGCCTGCCTGCCTGCCAGCCTGCCTGCCTGCTTGGCTGGCTGCACTGGTCGAGCACCCCCTCGGCGTGGCGCCATGCATTGAGTAGATTTATTTAATAAGGACAGGTCCTTACAGTGACCCCTTTCGATTTCCGCGCTTGATGGCTTGGCAGATTGCTTACCTAAGTAGATGTCCAAAAATAAAATATTAGGTCGGTCGAAGCCTTCTTGGCCGAGTAATAGGTAACTTTGTTTTTATTTCTGAAAAAAGCTGGGTATTTTGGGTATTTTTTATATGAGACGTAAATTTTGAGCCAGGTGGATGAAAATTTGTTTTCTGGTGCAAAATTAAATAAGGAACACGTTGGTGCCCTCGGAATTGATCTACGACCAATACTTTCGGAGATATCGGCCTCCAAAGTTGAAAAAAGGGGCCAAAATGAAGCAAAATACCCAAATCTTGGGATTTTGGCAACCATTAGACCTTTTGACACGATTCAACGCTCATTTTGTAGAAAAAAAGACGCGGAATCCAATGAGCATACGCGCAGGTCTGTACGACGAACCGTTCAGGAGATACGCGGCTCTAAAGATAGCCATTTTTCGTGGGGTGCCGAAAATGTTGTTTTTGCACCTTTTCAGACTGTTGAGCCCACAGTGACACGTATCCTTCCTTCGCGAAGTGCTCGGCTCAGGGGAAGGCGTTTCTTTGGCGAAACGCAGCAGCCCACTGACAGATTAGAGAGAAGGCGGGGCTACCCGAGGTGCTCAGGAAGAAAAAC